GCACCTTGGGGTGCTTACACACATTATTAGAAATGGGCTAGTCCAGGTGCGAGAATTAGCCTGTAAGGGCTAGAGTTCATGGGCCAAGCAGTTCTTAAATGAATACAGTTTGCGTGTTGTTATTTCGGGCATGAGCTAGCCAAGAGGCCGGGGTGTTGGGGACGCAACCCCGCCGCCGCTCCTTATTTCAACAGTGGATGAATAAAATTAATCTTAAAACTTATTTCCTACTAAAGCAAAACCCCAAAGAGATCATATGCCTAGAATATAAGCTAAAACTTTACAATTTGTAAGATAATGCAACCAAAAATCGTTGCAACTTTGAGGTAGACAGAGTCCAGTGTGACTGGATAAACCACAAAAAAAAATAGAATAAATTTTATCAAAATGTTTAGCTCAATCTGTGTATTTTATTAGGAAAATAAATTTCCAGGACTGTAGAGATGTCTCAGTGTTTAAGAACTAGGCAGAGGTAGGTGGAACTCTGTGAGTTTGAGGCCAACTCGGTCTACAAGAGCTAGTTCCAGAACAGGCTCCAGAGCTACAGAGAAACATTGTTCAAATAAATAAATAAATAAATAAATAAATAAATAAATAAAGGTGCAGCCACAACTGTTGCTGTCATCACAATGCTCCCCGCACACACGATTTCATGAGCAAATTCGTCTCTGCCTGAGTTGTTTCATGGCATTTTTCACCTCCTCATTCCTCAAAGTGTAAATGAGAGGATTCAACAAAGGGGTGACCACTGTGTAGAAGACAGAGACCACCTTGTCAATGGAAAAGCTGGAGTCTGGCCGAGTGTAGAGGAAGATACATGGCCCAAAGAACAGGGCAACCACCATGAAGTGGGAGGAACAGGTGGACAGGGCTTTCCGACGACCTTCGGCTGACTGTTTTCGAAGAGAAAACAGGATTACAGTGTAGGAAGTGACCAAGGCTAGAAAGCAGGTGAGGGAGATGGTTCCGCTGTTGGACACGATCAGAATCCCTGTGAGGTATGTATCTGTGCAGGCCAGCTTGATGACAGGAGGCACATCACAGAAGTAGCTGTCAATAATGTTTGGGCCACAGTAGGGGAGACGAATAGTCAGGACGGTCTGCACAAGCGAATGAACTGTGCCCCCCACCCACAGTGCAAAGACAAGCTGTACACAGACCTTCATGTTCATCACATTAGGGTAGCGCAAAGGAATGCAGATAGCCACGTAACGGTCATATGCCATGACTGTCAGCAGAAAGATCTCAGCACAAGCAAACAGATGTAGGAAGAAAAGCTGTGTGATGCAGTTGTCGAAAGAAATGCTCTTCCTCTCCAAAAGCAACCCCTCCAGCATCTTGGGCACAGTGACGGATGAGTGGCAGACATCGATGAAGGACAGATTGCTCAGAAAGAAGTACATGGGAGTGTGGAGACGTGGACTAAAGACTATGGTAACAACAATGACAATGTTCCCCAGAAGAGTTAGTATGTAAGTTACTGTAAATGGTATGAAAAACAGAATCTCCAACACCGAGCTGTCAGTGAGGCCCAGGAAGACAAACTCCGTCACTCTTGTTTGGTTTAGAGCGCCCATCTAATGAGTGTTCCAGAGGATCTGGGTGGGGTAAATTATCCTGAGTAACACAGGAATAAAGTGATTAAAATGACTGTTTTCTTATGAGGCTTAGCATAAATAGGTAAGTTATCCGAAATCCTTACTTTTTATTTACCTGGCTATTTTCAGGTAAATATTATTATTATTATTTAGAATAATTCACCAATAGTATCAGATTAGAATTCTAAAGCCGTAAAACTCCAACTAAAACTACTCTTTATTTGACTTTTGCTATTAAGATAAGCGACCTTCAAAAACTTAACAGTCTTTTGTTTTGTCCAGTATGGGGTCCTTTTATGGGCATTAAAATACTATTCATTTTTTACTTGGTTTCTTTTTTATTATTCCAAAGCACTGACTTTAGGAAAACTCTCCTGATTCAATAAAAGCCTGTTTCTTTTCCATAATTATTTTATTATACCGAAAGTAGGAAATTTAGTTTTATTCTCATTAACTAAACTTTTCTTTAAAAGTACAGAAGTGATAGAAAGATTGTAAAGACCAGAGGACCAGAAAAACTTGTTAAAAGATAGTTTCACCTAAAAATGACAGGGAAGCTTCACCCATAATACATCAATATGGCTACCTAAACAAGACCTGAAAAGTACAATGCCAATAGAGCCACTAACAAGGAAGGGGGGTTCACAGGGCCCAGCCCTAAACAAAGAACTACAGGTAACTAAGAAACACTGAGAGTGAATAGTCTTCCCCAGGGCTGAGCCCTCTATTTGGTTATCCGATAATAAGTGGTTATTCAAGTTACCCAAGTAACACTTAACATTCAATAGGCTGAACAGGTTGCATTTACATACTTTTGTATGTATATATTTGTATATAAATATTGTATATATACATAAATTAGATATATATGATAATAACTAAAGAAAATGAAGCCGTGAATTTGAGAGGGAGCAAGGGATGGTATATGGAAGGGAATAGGAGGAGGAAAAGGAAGGGGGAAAATAACGTAATTAGATTTTAATTGTATAAAACTTCTAATTTTTCAAAAAGTAATAACCACATGATTTACCTCTTACAGCACTTTTCAGATGCCTTGTACACTGTAGGTTTCCAAAACCATTTTATTTGTACTAAAATAACTTCTTAGGCATTGTGAATCAATCATTCCCTCACAATAGAACTATTAGGCCACAATTATAATTGTTTTGATTCTGTATTATGACTTTTCTGTCAGGAAATATTACATACAAATACTATCACATTGCTCCTAATTGTTCCTGCTGGTTAGACAACCATAAACTATAAGATAATCAGCCCAAATCATCAAAAAATGAAACTGATTCAAATATTTCACTTATGGTAAGGTAATCTCTTACAGTGTCCAAACTGCAGGAAAAGCTAAAGGTGGGGGGATAGTTAGCCTAGCACTATCTGAAGCAACCTAACGGTCATGTGATTGGGATTGGGGAGTCTGAATGAATGCAGTGAAGCGTGACTAGACTTGCATCCAGCTCAGGAATGATGATGGCAACTGTTGAGACAGCACAGAGGGGTGGCACTCGACAGAAAATTCCCTCAACATCTTGGTAGATGGTAGTGCTATGTAAGTTAGCAAAAAACAAAGAGAAGATGGGAAAATGGCAGAACACATATTACAGAAGAGGAGACTATTCTCTTATTCAAAAAAAAACCCTTAAAATTGATAGTAAAAGACAAGGGATCAAATTGAAAATGAGCAAAGAATATAAACCCAAAGATCACAGGAAAGGAATCACAAATGACAAGTATGTCTAAGTGAAAGTCACTCAACTTCAGTGGAAGTTAAAGACTAAAACCAAATACATTCATTTTTGTCCCATCCACAAAAGCAAGAAAACCTGATTGTTCTTTACATACTGTTACTCAAAGCCAATATTCTTAAAACCTTTTGTGAGAGATAAGTTGGCAGTACCAATGAGAATTTTAATGTCTATCCTTCTAGACCAAAGAATCCCATTTTCAAGACTGCATTTCTTTTTTTTTTCTTTTCTTTGTTTTAAGACTGCATTTCATAGGACTAAGGAAACTGGCAATTAGTAACTAAAGATACATGCTTATTGAAACATTTGTTTGTAGGAGCAAGAAGGGCCTAGGGCATCACAAGAAAACACACAGAATCAATTCACCTAGTCTCATAAGGGCTCCCAAAGAGTGAGCCCACAACCAGGGAGCCTGCAAGAGACTGACGTACACTCTCTGCATGTGTCTGACAGTTGTATAGCTTGCTCCCCCTGTGGGACTCCTAACAGTGGGAGCAGGGCTGTCTCTGACTCTTTCACTGGCTTTTGGAATCCGACTCCTCATAATGGAATGCTTGCCTAGCCTCAATACATGGAGAGGTGCTTAGTCTTACTACAACTTGATATGCCATGATTTGTTGATACCCATAAGAGACCTGCCCTTTCCTGAACAGAAACAGAGTGGACTGGGGGTGGGAACAGAGGGATGTGGGGGGAGGGATTGGAAGGAGAAAAGGGAGGGAAACTGTGACCAAGATGTAAAATTAATTTTAAAAGGAATACTTTTTAGCAAAACAGGGTATTTGAAACAAACAATACTTATCAATACAGAAATAAATGATGCTTCTAAAGTTTCTTAGGTTTTATCTTATTATTTTAGGGGTATGGATGTATGTCTGTGTCTGTGTTGGTGGTGACCACCAAAGAATGTCAGATCTCCTGGGACTGAAGTTACCGACAACTGGGAGCGGCCATGTGGGTGCTAGGAATTGAACTCTGGTCCTACAGAAGAGTAGCTCTTAACTGCTGATCCCTATAAATAAACAATTTTTAGTACAGACACAATGTGGGATACAGTGGAACCATTAATGAATTTGTTTTATGCATAGTAACCTAAGTCAGTGCTTCTCAACATGGCTACAGATCAGAGCTACTTAAATTATTTTTACAAATTTTAATGTCCAGGCTCACCTCAAACAATTAGCTCAACTCTCCTTGGTGATTCCAATGTATAGTCACAATCACAAACAACTAATTTCAAAGAAAAGTCAATGGCATATTAAGTAAAAAGAATCTATTATGAACATATTATGAATCTTGAGAAAGAGGAGAGAGAGGGAAAGAAAGGAAGGAAAGAAGGAAGGAAGGGACAAAGAAAGGAATCAAGAGACATTCGTGTATGCATATATGTACATTTACGTATTTTTTCATATTTTTTAAATATTTATTTATTTATTATGTATACAATATTCTGTCTGTATGCCTGAAGGCCAGAAGAGGGTGCCAGACCTCTTTACAGATGGTTGTGAGCCACCATGTGGTTGCTGGGAATTGAACTCAGGACCTTTGGAAGAGCAGGCAATGCTCTTAACCCCTGAGCCATCTCTCCAGCCCCATTTATGTATTTTTTAAACATATATATTATTTATTTCTATTTGCATGTATTTCTAAAAGAGTAGATGTTGAAGAATAGACATTAATTTTAATATTGTTTACTTCTATAAGCATGGCATTGAAAGGAATAGGAAGGATTTTATTAATTCTTATGTTATATTCTGTAATTATTTACATACTGGGCATGTTTTAAAAATAGAATATTAAAGAAATGTATGGAGAGAAGGTATCCAAAACTCGATGACTTCATGAGTTGCCTTGTCTGTGTCTCAGGAATTATGACATGGTTGCATTGTTGTTTCTCTTGCTTTGTGAAACAGTCTCCCTATACTGCTCAGGCTGGCCTGGAACTCCCTTTTGTAGTCCAGGGTAGCCTTGAATCTACAGCCTTCCCACGTCAGTCCCATAAGAGCTGGAGTTACAGGCAAGCGCAAAAATATGTAGCTACAATTGTTTCTTTTATAAAGAAATTTGCTTGTGCTGGCCGTCATCTCTGTCATCACTAAAACATAAAGCCACACGGCCATTTTGACTTGGTTTGAGTTTTTATAAATGATACTGGCAACCGAAGCTCCTTAACGTATGAAGCTAGGCAAGCACTCTACCTCTGATTCATATTATCAGCCTACGAGGACTTTCAAATACAGGAAAACTTAGACTTAGTACCTTGAAAAATAAGGATGTGAAATAAGAAATAGTAAATTCAAATTACTGAGTAAAAAAAATGTTAAGAAATGCCTCTTCAGTTGGGCAGTTGGTGGCGCATGCCTTTAATCCCAGCACTTGGGAGGCAGAGACGGGTGGATCTCTATGAGTTGGAGATCAGTCTGGATCTCTATGAGTTGGAGATCAGTCTGGTCTAGAGAGTGAGTTCCAAGACAGCTAAAACTGTTTCACAGAGAAACCCAGTCTCAAAAACAAACAAACAAACAAGCCTCTTAGTGGGCAACGGAAAGATCCCCCTTTACCTCTGGCCCCTCACTCTCTGACTCACAGACAGCTGCAGCACTCAGAAAGCAGGCCCTGCAGCTAGCCTGGGCAACACCTTTACAGAGGCACTGGTGCCACACACACACCCCACAGACACACACACACACCTGTGGTGGTGAGAGCAAAGGAAAGATGTGCCCCCACTCCACCCCATTGTCCCCACCACCTGTGGTTGACGACAGAGCTGACACCCCCCCCCCCCTTACCAGCCGCAGTGCTAGGCAAAGTGGGTCCTGCACCTTCTGGAGTTGGACCTGAAGGTGTGTGTAGGTGTTAGATAGCCAACCCTGAGGGCATGAAAGCAGGATAACCAGCCCTGCCTCTGGCTCATGGCTGCATGGGGTAAACTTGTCAAGGCAATGCAGGCGAGCTCACCCTGATGGTGAGGACAGGGGAGAGCTGGCGGGCTGACCAACTCGGCAACTACCCAGGCCCAGAACCAAGGTAGCAACCACCTCATCTGTGGTCTGCTGGAGCACGTGAAGGGGGGGGGGGCTGTAGACTCAAAGCTGCAGGACCTCCACAACACATCACAACAGAAAATCCAAGAGGACTCCCAGTGAGGGCACAGCATTGATAGTGTGGCAGAAACCAGGAGCCTTGAACCAGACCAATGACTCTTTGTAATGGACACTTGCAAGTAAAAATATATGGAAAAAGGGGTTTACTGTGTTACACTACAGCTTCCATGAAAAGACTGATGTTTTTTTCTTTTTTTGTATTTTTTCTCTTAAATTTTATTTTATTCGGGGGAGGGTGTTGCAAAGGCAGAGACAGATATGAAGGAATGCGGAAATGAATGAAATCAAGATGCATGACATGAAAGATACAAAGAACAAATGAAAAGAAAGTTTTTAAAAAAAAATGCCTGTTTAAGACTACAGTGTAGCCCTGAGGTCAAGTATTCACTTAACATACAGAAGTTCCTATGTCAGCAGAAATGGAAGCAGAAAGAGGGAAGGTGGAAGGAAAGAATTCCTCCTTCATTGATTTAGTAATAGGCCTTTTAAATAAAGAAAATTATTGTTCAGATGTTGTGACACACCCCTGTGATCTTAGCACTGGAGTATGAGAAGGGGGGATCAAACTTTTCAAAGCCTGCATGCTAAAAAACAGTGCCATGCTGCTTAAAACACACTAAATGGAAAGTAAGCGAGCAAGCACGCAGTGGCCTTATCTAAGGAAGAGTAGGCTCTAACCATGCAGCCCTTCAAGAAATGAAAATATTCACTTTTCAGTCCATGCAAAAAAGGAGCCTGTCACAAAAAAGCTCCTTAAGTATTTCTAACCTAGGAAAAAAATAATATTGCAAATAAAAAAAAACAGTGAAAAGACCAGACTTTGTGGAGACACGATGGCCTGTATAGCAGTAGATGTGTATTCTATAATGGAGCAGGAGAAGCAAGGGGGCAGAAGCCCCACTGGGCATGGGGAATGTGCCAAGATGTGCATAGTGAGGTAGCGGAAGCCAGCTGCCAGCTCACCTGCTCAGCTTTTCCCATTTGTTGACTGACTCCTCTGTAGAGGTTACTGCACTGCCAGGGATTAACTCCTTGCTTCCACACTCCCACCCTGTTTACGCCTACCACCCTGTTTACGTCTGTCATTGTATCAGAGAAACCCAAACTGTCTTTGCCTGTCCTCTGCTGTTTGTTTCTATTTGAACATTGCAGGGCCACCTCGGTGAAGACACACTTAGACGGAGCTCCTTTAGCAAAGGGAAGCCTCGGTGTCCATTACAGTAGCCTTCAGGTCTATCTATAAAATGCTGGGCTGCCAAGACCTTGCTTGAATGAATCCAGTGTGAGAAAATGTCCTATAACAATAGAATGTCAGAGGGTAAAAAGAGGCACAGAAGTACTCACAGAGACACCTTAAACTTTTGACAGCTTACCATAGGATTAGAACTCCATCCCATCGCCCACCAGACATAGTCTCCCTGTTTGGTAGTTGGCTGCAGACAACCATGTTAAATTTATTCTTGGCCATTTTACCAGATTGTTTTATTTTTAAGACTGGACTTTTTACCGTATGAGATCACCTGCATGGTGGCCAACCAACACAGTTGAAAGAAGCCTCTAAGAAAGAAAATTGTACTCAGAGAAAACACAGGACTGCCTCCCACTCTACATGCAGAGAGATGCCTTGACTTCACATCCCACATGCATGGGTGCATTCCTGGTGAGGCCCAGAGAATGACCCAGGCAGCCTAAGTAAGCCACCAAGCTCAGCTAGTCCTCTGCATCTTCTCTGGATCATCCCAAAGCTGGTCTTTGAGCTGCCCATCAGAGCACAGGGGAGCGTTTTCCTCTGAGGATGGGAAAAGCAAGCAAAACTAGGTGACCATATGGTAGTAAGGAGGTTTCCTCTCTGGAAGATTTTGTCAAGCTCAGCATTCATTCCTTGACTCTTTTCTAGGAATTGTGCTAGAGATTCAAACAGGAAGAAGCAAAGGGAAGGGAGAGCGTTGATCCCTCCCTACCCCAAGCCCCACAGTCTACTGAGTCTTTCAAGAATCAGAAGAAAGAAGCAAGTGCTACAGCAGAATAGAAAAGGCAACCAATCGTAGCTTCAAGTATCTTGAGGAGTCTAGGATTGTGTGTGTGTGTTTGTGTACATTCATGCATGTATGGAAATTGAAGAGTGTGCATATATGTGTATGTGTGTTTGTGTGTACATTAATGCATAGAGGGAAAGTAAGGAGTGTGTGTGTGTAAAGGCGTGCACATGTGCACATGGATGTGAGCACATTTGTAGACTGACACCTTTATAGAAAGCAGCACATTAAAAAAATATGACTGATTCTGAATAAAGAAAAGGGATTAAAATCAATTTAAGTTAAAAGTCCTCTTGTTAAGCTTCTAAATCACATACATACGATGTATCAAATAAATACCTGGAAAAGAATCTTGTTCAGTGCCGTCACAGTGTAGCCAGGCTCAGACCCACAAAGGACGGCAAGGAGCGTTAATGAAGAGCACTGACAGGTACCAATGTTCTCCAGCTGTCCAGAATGATCTGGCTCATTCTTATGGGGGTATTATGTTCTTTCTTTCACTTTTCTCATAATTCCTACAAGAAGTAAAACACAAATAGTAAAATATTTAAAATAAATAACTCACCCTGATTTAGTTAACTGGTCTTCTGTGTGAATAAATTATATCATTGCAATATTGGTCCTTACATTTATTTTTAAAGATTTTTCCTTCTCTAAAAATTCTGAGTTATCCTTTAGAATGCTTTTTTCTTTTTTCTGGCCAAGAAAAGGAGCATTAAGCCTCACTTTTCCAGTATCACTTCAAGCAGTGACTAAGCATGACCACCACTAGAGCTTATATTAATACCTCCCAGATTTGTCACTCAAAGGTAAGACATCCTGCACATTTTAGAAGGCAAAAAAACTTTATTCTAGGTATTCTGTGCCATACTTGATACTAACATTAAGTTTAAATTTTTGTTCTAGGAAAATGTGAGTTAAGGAATCTGTGTCAAATCAAGTCTAGTTAATCTTGGGTTCTTCTGTTGTCCACATGACTTCATAAACACCAAGTGAAGACCTTTTGTGAATTGATATATTTAAAGAATATACTAGGGCAAGTTACTTCACTTTATTCTCATTAAGAAAGTAGGAAAAATAACACTTTAATTACTATGACAGCATTATGAATCAATTTGGCTGTGCCATGGAACCTAGATATCTGATTAGTGACCTAGCTATTGCTGTGATGATATATTTATACATGGTTAAAACTTAAATCAGTAAACTCTGGAAAAGCAGATGTCCTTAACAATATGGACAGGCCTTAGCCACTCATCAGAAAGCCGCACAAGACTGAGTTTCCAGGCAGAAGGAAAGGTTCCATTTTGGGTCTTCTTGCTCTCTCTCTCTCCCTCTCTCTCTCCCCCTTTCTCTCTCCCCTCCTCCCTGCTCTGTGTGTGTGTGTGTATGTGAAGTGTGTGCATGTCTCTCTGTCTGTCTCTGTTTCTCTGGAGAACTCTGACTTTATTGCAATGCTTGCAGTGACCTTAAAAATGGCAGTGTAGGGAAGGATAGAAATACTGCCACTCTGCTCAACCTCAAGAAAGATCAGTCCCTGGAAGATGACTTTATCTCCTTTAAGCCCTGATCAACATCCATTTTAAATAAATAACAACAAATTCTTCATAAAGACGGGGTAGGAAAAAGATAGACTTGTAATCAATCAATCTGTTAAACTCTCCGTAAGGCACAAAGCAATAAGCAATTAGTAAATCTTTACATTTACATTTAGTAAATCTACCAATCTTACCTGTTTAAAATAAATTTTCCCAAACTGACAACAGAAACCATCTATTCCATTCTTCCATTAGTGATTCAGTTCTCCTACACTTCAGACATCTAGGATATGAAATCTCAGAACACAGAATCCTGCACTGGGCATATCTCAGGCTTGCAAACTCTGGGGGTTTTATCCATCAAACACAAGATCTTGAAGTGATCATTGAATGGCTCTAGTTGAACTTGCCATCAATGAATGCCCAGGTGCATTATTAAAAGTTTCATGACTCAATACATTTCCTGTTATTAGTATCACTCATTTAGCAGTTTAACAAATGGACCATAAACCCACTAACCTCTAAATAAGGAAGCGTTCCAAAGCCTTTACAGTTTCCATGACATCAGCTTGTGTGGACATGGAAGCACTGCACTGCACACCAGGGATGTAAGGCTGTGCGCAGGTGAAACAGTACCCTTGAATTGGAAGATGTTTCGTAGAACTCCATGTATATAAAATATCCAAAACAGGCAAATCTGTAAATGTTGAAAGTAGATGAATGGTTTCCAGGGGTCAAAA